TGGAGCCTGTGAAGGTTCTGTCAGGTATCAAGAGGCTCATGAAGACCCCAAGGCAGAAGTCTGAGCCTGCAGAGGTTTTGTCAGGCATCAGAGAGCTCTTGAAGACCCCAAATCAGAAATTGGAGCCTGTAGAGGTTCTGTCAGGTATCAAGAGGCTCATGAAGACCCCAAGGCAGAAGTCGGAGCCTACAGAAGTTCTGTCAGGCATCAGAGAGCTCTTGAAGACTCCAAATCAGAAATTGGAGCCTGTAGAGGTTTTGTCAGGCATCAGAGAGCTCATGAAGACCCCAAATGAGAAATTGGAGCCTACAGAGGTTCTGTCAGGCATCAAGAGGCTCATGAAGACCCCAAGGCAGAAGTCTGAGCCTGCAGAGGTTCTGTCAGGTATCAGAGAGCTCATGAGGACCCCAGAGCAGAAGGCAGAACCAGTGGAGGACCTGACTGGCATTAAGCAGCTCCTGAGGACCCCACAGCAAGAGCTGGAACCAGTCATAGACGAAATAGCCTTGAAAAGGTTGCTGGACACTCCAGCAGAGGGCAGGAAAGCAGGAAAAGCTGTGCCAGGTGTGACTTCAACCAAGAAAACCCCAAAGCTGAAATCCCAAGCCGTGGAAGACATGGTTGGGATCAGCCGCATTTTCCAGACACCAAAGGACAAGGGTGAGCCTGTAGAAAACACGTTTGGAATTAGCAGATTAATGAAGTCTCCTAAAGAGAAATATCAACCAGTTGAGGATTTTGTGGGACTGCAAAGGCTCATGGCAGAACCCAGGCAGAAATCTTCTGATTCTGAAGTGGACTATGCTGGAATGACTGAGATGTTTGGCACCCCAGAGGAAATGAAGGTAAAAAATACTTGAACTTTTGGAAGGGATGTTTTTAGACTTTGAAACCTGTGCTTGAAATGAATTTAGACTTTCTAGTATGACACCTTGTATCTTGCAATTTTTTTTAGAGACAGCTGCATTTATGTGTTAAAATATATTTATTTCAAAGGACCTGTCACAAACGAGTTGTAAGATTAAGTGCCATTAAAAACAGGTTTAATATAAAAGTGATAAGCTTAATTTAAAAGTGACATTCCCAGCATCTCGCTCACCATTCCACACTGACTGTTAGAGGTAGGAAAAGTGAAGTTCTCCAGTCAGTGTGTCAGGCTTGGTGATATCTGTGCCCAGCCTGGTTTGTTTTTATTGTGAGAAGAATCTTGATCTTCAGTGGAGATGTGCTGGCATCACTGCCAGTATCATTTTCTTAAAAAAAATGATTTTGATTCTCATATTCCATAGGGAAAATGCTGAGTATCCCTGGGCTTAGTACTTAGAACTAGAGTGAAACACTACAAAACACTCAATTTCTCTTCAATAGTCCAAATTCCCTTTGAGCACTTATTTAGGCACTTCTCAACCTTTCCACAATGTTGTCTTTCATTTTAGATGGCAAGAAAGAAATTTCCTATGTTTCTGGGCTTATATCAGAAAAATGGATGTATTATAAGACTAAATGATTTAATTTGTAAAGAAAAGGATTTGGCAAGAATTTTTAAAAGTATTGCTGTACATTCCTCTGGTATTGTTGGGCTCTGTAAGTTCTTGTCCTGTCAGACATGCATTTATTGGTTATTTTTTATTCCCTTAGGTGAGATCAGTAAATGTTAAGGATTCTCAGGAAGAAATTGCACCTCCTGGTTCTAATTCCACTCGTAAACGTGGTAAGCACAAATTTTTTGCTTAGAGGAATAATGAATGTACAAAATCCTAAATGTTACCATGAAGTTCAAATCTTGTTTAAACTTCTCTCAGTGAGCCCAGCTATTTCCTGAGCTAAGATCATTTTTTCCCTTTGACCCATCCAAATAAATTAAACAACTTCAGTCAGAAGTCTGGCCTTTAATCTAGCAATTGGTTAAATATTTCTTTATTCTTTGTATGATTTGTTTGAGCAAGATGCCTCTGTGAGGAAAATGGGAATGCACAGATACTTTGATCAGGCACGGGAACGTCTTTAATTTTTGTTTGTGCTCTTTACTCTGTTCTAGAAAAGAAAGGAAAAGTTTCCCAAGGTGAAGATTGTCAACAGAAAGACTCAACTGGTGAGGAGCAGCCTAGCCAGAGACCCAGGAGGGGCAGAGGTACCAGGGCTGCACCTCCTGCTGCAGCAAAGCCAAGTGAAAATGATGTGAGTTTAAAGGAATTGCAGAGTCCTGGTACCCAAGAGGAGATGAGAGTGATCACACCTGAAAACAAGGCAAGAGGAAGGAGGACAAAGCGTTGCATACAAGAAGTTCTTCCAAAGAGCCCTGAACTGGAAGGGCTTGACATTGTTTCATCTGTGGAACCACCTGGAGCTGCTCAGAGACCAGGAAGAGGTAAAAGGAAAGAGCTGAAGGAGTTAAAACATCCAAATGAAAACCTGGAGTCTTGTGTTGAAGATTCTTCAGTGCTACAAAAAGCACCTGCAAATGCCAAGGAGAGTTTGCAGAACTCTGGCATCAATGAAACTGAAGATGATCCAGGCACAAAGACAGGACCTGGAAACGTTCAGAATGAGATCTGTCAGCTGCAAACAGGTTTAAATAATCCTGATAGCAAAGCTAATGACAGTGGGATAGAGGACAGTGAAGAAGTGTTCCTGTCACCGAGGAGGAGGCGCAGGGGAGGGGAGGACACAGAGCCAGTGGTTCCACCAAAACGAGGGAGACGAGCAAGGAATGGCCAAGGTAAAGCAGCTTCTCCAGGAGACCTTCATGGAACAACCAGAAAGCTTCGTAAAAACCCATCCCCAAGGGTGACACAAAGGCAGGACCAGGCTTGTGACAAAGCTCCTGAGGCTGTCACAGCACAAGAATCTGAAAATGGCACTGAACTTGAACTAAAGGCAGCAGAGAGAAGAGTGAAGTCTTTTAGAAGTACTAGAAACAGAAAGCAGTCAGCTGAAATAAAAGCAGACACTCCTGGGGTCGCACTTGAAAATACACAAAACATTCAGAAAACTGAGGAAACATCAACTGAAGCTGATGCTGAAACGCAGTCCCACGTGAAAAATGAGATGAAAGGATCTCAGGGATGTGAAACAGAAAATGCTCAGGAAAATACAACAGAGGCAGCTCAAAGATTAAAGGCAGAGTCACCTTCTGCAGAGACAAACAAAATGCCAGTCGGTGCTCAGAACACAGAAGCAAACAGGGCTAGAAACAGGAGGGGCAAAAAAGATTCTTTGGAGCAAAAAGCTGATGAATTCACTGAAAATGTGAACAGCCCAAAACCAATTACTCCTAAATTCAAGTCAGAAGTGGATGAGTCGTCTCTCCAGGATTCCCTGGGCTCTGTTTGTGTCAGTGCAGCCCAAGCCAAGAAGGAGCAGCCCAGCCCTGGTGCCACATCAGTCCCTGCTGCAGACAGTGCCAGTCCTGCTCAGGGCAGTCAAAGGAGAACGAGAAATGAACAGGGAATACTTAAAGCAAAGCAAACTGAAATCCTGCAGGGGAATCCAGCACAAAGAAATGCAGTGATGTGTAGAAGAGGAAGAGGTAAAAAAGTTAATTTTCAGCTTGAAGAAAGCAGTTCCAAAGCGATGGAAGGAAAAAGTTTACCTGAGGGTGGTGAAGGCATGACTGACAAAGATAATCAACGTGAGAATTCCAAAAATCCTCCTTCACAGGGAAGGAGGGGCAGGAGGAAAAAACTTGATTCCATCCCACAAGAAGCTAGTGCTGCCTTGATGGAAAAACAAACACCAAGTGCAGATGACAGGAAAGATGAGGCTGTGGTACAGGAGCAAGGACCAGCTTTGGAAACTGCTGACAATGCACCGAGACGGGGGAGGAGACGGGAGGTGGCTGCAGCACCACAGACCAGATCTCCTTCTGTCAGAACGAGACGTGGGCTGCTGGGAGGTGATGCCAAAAAGATGGCAGAGAGAGAAGACGAAAATCCAGCCCTGGGTTATGAAACTTCACAAGCAAAAGTGAATGAATCAGCAAGGGACAGAAGGAAAAAGATGGATCCGGCAGCAGGGACAAGAAGTTCAACTCCACTCCAGAGCAAGTGTGGCTTGTCAGAGACTAAAGATGAGGAGGGTACTCATGAGGAGCAAAGTGTGCCTTTGGAAGCAGTGGCCTGTGCTAAGGAGAAGCCACCAGGAAGGGGCAGAAGGAAGGAAACTGCTCTGGCATCACACACAACCAGCTCCATCTCTCTTCGAGGGAAACGCAGGTTGGCAGCAGGTGATGGAGAAGAAGCTCCCAAAGAAGAGCAGAATGTTCCCTCAGAAACTTGTGATCCACCTGGAAAAGAAAATCAACTGAGAAGAGGCAGGAGGAAGGAAATTGCCCTCTTGATAGAAGCCAAAAGTTCTATTCAGGGAAATCAGGTCCCATCAAAACAAAGTGGTAGAAAAAATAACAGGGAAGCTAAACAGAGTTTGGACAATTCTTCCCAAGAAAATATGGATATTGTAAAAGGGAGCTCGAGGCAAGCAACCACTTCACCTCAGGGTCTGCCAGAAGATGGTAAAGATGGAATTCCTGAAGAACAAAGTAAACCTTTGGAAGTAGCTCCACCTGCAAAAGAAAATCCATCAAGAGTGGGCAGGAAGAAAACATCTTCTTCCACTTCTGAAGAAACAAATTCCATTTCTCTCAGGGGAAAACCCAACGTGCCCAGAGGCAGAGGTCAGAAGAGTATTCTTAAAGGAAGTGAAGAGGCATCTCCAGAAGATAATCCATGCCAGGGAAGAACAAGGCAATTGAGGAATAAGAAGAGGAAAGTGGAATTCCCATTAGAGGCAGCTGCTTCCCCCCATAAAAGCAGTGACTTGCCAGAAAATGGCAACACTCTGGAAACTCAGGATTTGAGTGGAGCATCCACTGGTTGTGAAGAGAACCAGTCTGGGAAAGGCCAGGAGGGTGACCCTGCTCCACAGGCAGCCCCCACCTCTCGCAGGAGGAAATGCCAGCTGCCAGCAGAGGATGTGGCTCCCAAAAAATTAAAATCAGGTGAGGCAAGGATTGGCTCTCTTTCTTTCCTCTCTTTCCTCAAGTTATATAAAGGTACAGTTGTGTGTAGAGCTCTGGGGCTGCTGATACACATCCCAGAATCATGGGATCATTTAATTTGGGAAAGATCCAAGATCCCAGCTCCCTCCTGGGGTTCCAGCTCCATTCCCTTCCCTGGTCACACTCAACCCTTCCATGTCCCTCCTGAACCGAGGGACCCAAACTGGGCACAGCACTGGAGGTGTCCCCCAGTACAGGGGGACAATCACTGCCCTGGTCCTGCTGCCATCTACAAATATTCCCTGGAATTTTCAGCTTGACTTAAAAACTCCCAGTTAGAAAATACTATCAAATGAATGCCTTGAAGTAGAAATGACAGCAGCTCTTTAGAGCTACACAGCAAGGAATTTCTTGCCATAAAACTTGGCCTGTTTTCATTTTTGCAGGACTTGGGTGTTGATTCTGTTTTAGTTTTACAGATCAGTGGAAGGAATTTTAGCTAAAATGGCAGCTAATTGGTTTTGGTGCTCTCATTAATGTTAACCTACTTTCAGAAATAGCTGTAAATCCTCAGGGATCCAACTTAAAGGATATTGGATGTGCAGAAGTGTGGAGTTGGTGTCTGGTTTGTTGAATTCAGAGATGAAATCTTTGGAATGTTGTCATTGGGGACTTTTCCTTTCAAAACAGTGTAGGTGAAGACGGAATTTTGTGGGAAATGTTTGATTGATGACACAAATTGACATTTTTCCATATGCAAATAGGGAATGATGAAAATGGATCTGTACAAAGAGGAAGAAGAAACAAAACTAAACTTGGAGAAGAGGATGCAAAGGCAGCTCAGAGCACTGGAGGAATGGAGAGGAGGACAAGATCCAGCACAAGAACAAGGAAATAGTCTTAAGAGTCCCAGAACCAGTTCTTAAATCAGTTCAGTAATTCCAGTTACAGGTTTTTCTTTCAATGTGAATTGGTTTGCACTCAGATTTTAAGCTCAGATTTTTCGTACTTCTATGGTTGCTTTGCAAAATACGTTTCTTAATGGGTTTACAGGTAGCAGGTAGAGATTTCTTTAGTAGCTTTGCCAGCACGTGGTGTTTCCTAAACCATGGGGTGCTTGTGCAAAGCTGCAAACATTGAATAAATGTTGTTAAATTACCAGTGATTTCCCCTCTTTTTCCTGTTGATCAGTACAGCAATCAGGAAGCCATAGTACTGTCAGCTGAAGCTATTTTCTGCTGAAATTTTTCCTGTGCTGAAGTTCTGGTTTTCGTTGGAGTTCTGTAAATATTCGTTTAAAAAAAGAAAATACAGTTGTATTAGCAGAAGTATTATGCTAAATTTTTCTTAAGTTTTTTTTTTTTTTTTTTAATTAAGGTTGTATTAAAAAGTGCGAGTTTTGAAGTCATTAAACTTGTAAACAGTTTGGGACTTTTGTGGTTTTTTTTGGTTTTAAGAATGTAATTGCTGCTGTCTTATGAATTCACTTCTCAGGTTCATCCTCCGTGGTTGATGTGATTTGGAGACAGAAATTTTTAGGATCTTTTACAGATAATTTGTCTTCAAGGCTGGGGGCTTCTTAAATACAGAAACACAGAAAATTCAGCCTGGGCATCAAACTTGTGTGCAGTTTTTAGACCTGATTTAATTTCTGTGGTGTGTGGGGAGCTGAGGATGTTTTTGCAGCAGAGCAGTTGGAATTGGAACTGTTAAAGTTGGAAAAGACCCCAAGACTCCAAACCTCAGATGTGATATAATATAAACTTTTTTTTTTTTTAATTGAGGTTGGATTTTTTGCTTGTTTGTTTTTTGTCATGTGGAATGGTGCTGTACCCATACCCACAGAGGATTTTTATTGAATTATCATTCACTTTTTTTTTTTTTTTTAATCTACTTTATTCTAGTGTGAAAATTCCAGTCTGTCCATTCATCCAGGGTTGCTCCATCCCAGGTGCAGAATCTGGTACTTCCCCTTAACTTCACATGGTTGATATGAAAAGTGGAAATCTATTATGGTGGGGGAATCTTTTGGTTTGATTTGGGTTTTTTGTGGCTTTTTAAACTCTGTTTCCCAGTCATGACATTCCTAAAACTTTAGCCCTGAAATCTCAGAGGAAAGCAAAATTTTACCATTTCCCCAAAAATCAAAATTCTCTCCTCTGTGTAAGCAATGCCAGTGCCATGGTTGGGAATTACAGGGATCCACAGCAATATTTTTTTGCTTCCAAGAAGTTTTTTGGGTTTTTTTTTTCCTCCAGTCACTGATCTGTCACTTGGGTTTGGTCCTAGTTCAAATCTAAGCTCGGATTAAATCCCTCAGTTCTCCAGAGTTGGGGTTTCTCCTCATTCCCACCTTGCCTGGTGCTGGTGTCACACTGGGCAGGAATGCTGGTGACAATCCCTAAGGAATGCATCCCATGGCTTTGTAGGAACTGGGGAGATCCCTGCAGTTCCATCCCGGATTTTGTAATGCCAGGAACATCTGTGGAAATCCAGATGTGCTCAGGAAGAGATGGACAAGGCAGGATGGGAATTCCCAAGGTAAAGGTAAAGGTGGAAGTCTCAGAAAGTGAAGCCGTGTCATTTTTGGGAATGTTCTACAGCCAGCCAAGGAAAGCAGCAGGAGTTGAAGGTATGGGGCTGATGGATTTTATTGCACATCAACCTGGATTTGGTTGTGGGGACACTGCAGCCACCCAGAGCATGGCTCTGCTCACCAGCCAGGACATTTCCAGAGGACATTTACTCCCTGCTCTTCTGCAGAGCTGATATTTATCGTGATTGGTGATGTTGATTCCAATTTGATAAAAATGTATTTTATGAGCAGCTCCGTTTCCACTCAGAAAATTTGAAATTGCAAATCTACCTCAAAGTAGATAATTCTGAGGGAGAGCTGAGACAAATCTTTTAGCTGAGGGGTCAGCCAAAGAAACAAATCTTTCCTCCAGGAAAATTTCCAAAATATCTTCTCTGTAATTTCTGTGGTGTTACATCTTCATTGTTGGATGTGTGGCAACACAAAATTTTTTTAAAAAGGAAATTTCATTGCAAACTTCGTGCCAATATTGTCAATCTTTTTGATTTTTAATTTGGGCAGATGATTTTCTTAAGGAAAGAAGGAAAGGAATTGGACGTAAAAAAATCAGGAAGCAGAGGTTTCTCTGTTATCCATGTTTGTTGCTTGCATTTACAAGTTGCTGGGTATAGATATATCTGTGTTTTTATATCTACAAATTTATTTAAAGATGATTTCTCCAGTGATTTTGAGAAGTAGCAAAGAAGAATAAGTATTTTAAATCTTTTTAAAATATAATTGATGATATTTAATCTCACAGCCTCATTTAAATCAGAAAATCCCTCCAAAACAGAGTCCAACCCCAGCACTTCCAAGGCCACCACTGTCTCATGTCCCCAAGTGCCACATCCTCGTGGCTTTTAATTCCCTGCAGAGGATTTATTATTCAAGCAGGAGCGTTATTTTTGCAGGGGTGTTGGTTTGAACATCCTTTTGATGGCATTGTCACCGCTGTGCTGTCAATTGTCACCTGTGCCACCGTTCCCTGTGGGCACCTCCATCTATCCTCTAAATCTCATCTCCACACTTATTAAAAATAGATGGACTTTGCTGCTTCCACTACATAAATAAGGTTGAAAAATCAACTTGATTGTCACAGAGAGTTTTTAAAACCTTCAAAACTTCCTGACAGCAAAACTGGATTTTAATATTTCAGCCCTGCAGTGCCATCAATGCCACAGCTCTGCCTCTTCCTGACAGTCTCTTTCATATCCAATTTCCTTCCAGACTTCTGCGAGTTCTTGGCTTGAAAGAATTCCTTGACAGCAAGACAAGTCCTTAATTGCATGAAATATGGAAAGAAAAGTTGCATTGGTTTGAATTTTGCACCTTTTAATTTGTCTCTTTCCATGGCATTCCTCCCCTGCCTTGACCTTGACCTTGACCTGGAGCTGTGGTGTTATTTTGGGAGGAGCTGAGCTTTAAACACCTCCAGAATTTTGGGAAATTCTGTAATTTCCCAAGGGCTGGGCTCTGATGGAGGCAATTGTCAGAGATGAACTGATAGCAGGTAATGGATGATCTTTGAGGATGTTCTCTCCATAGATTCCCACTCCAGCTTCCCTCCCTGATCCTTTAGAATATAATTTATGGCTGCTACTCAGAGGAGGTCACAAAAAAATAGAAAATATATAAATATAATATATATATAAATATAAAAATATATAAAATATATAAAAAAAATATTCTGGAGACAGATGAGAACTCCCACCCTTTTTTTAAAAATTCCATGTGAGGTTCCCTGCCACTCCAAAAGTCCTAATTACTGAATATTCTCAGGCTTGCAACCAGAGGCTGGAATGTGTGGATAAACTAAACCTGAGGAACATCTCATGGAGTAAATTTTCCTTCTGTAGTACTAAAAAAAAGTCATGAAAACCCAGCTGGGATTGAAATGCCAGGGCTGTGGGGTCATCTGGGAGCTTCAGCTCAGGGCAGATATTGATGTTTTTATGGTTCTGTGAGTGGCAGGTAGGTCAGGACCTGTCTGTCACCATTTGTCCTCACTGAGTCACCTTTATGATAAAATAGCAATGGACATTGGCACTAAAATCTGGGGAAAATCAGTGTATCTGAAAGCTAAAATCTCAATACTGTTCTGATCTTTAGCATAAATGTCACTTCTAAATTTCAATGAATTTAAGTAAATTTTCCATATTAATGTCGTACATTTTTAAATTCCAGTAGAATGCAGGATCCTGCATGGCTAAAATACAACCTTGTAATCCCAAAGTGAAGTTTGATAACCACAACTTTTGGCAGAAAGAGTAAAACTTTCTACTGTATTTCACAGAAAAGAACAGTTTTAACAAGAGATAGAGTTTGGAATTAATTGTGGGATACCATTTCAATATCCACTCACTGCTGATTTTCAGCAGGATCATTCAGGATTACCTTGCCCAGGAAATATTTTTAAGCAAAGCCAGAAGAAATCAAACACTGAAACAAATATTCCTGTGCCTGTGTGTTTTTAACATGACTTTTAGTGCTGCTATTAGAATCATCTGAATGAAATTATTACATTTTAAAACTTACGATATTAAGATACAAAAATCAATGCCAGAAATTTCCTCTTGATTGGTTTTCCCTCCTAATATTGGTGGATATGTAAAATAAAACCTGTGTGAGAGAAGTCTCACTCTTCAGTGTTCATTTAACAATTAAAATCCCTATTTTGGCTTCAAACCAACAGTTGAAAATCTACTGATAGAAATCCTTCAACACAAATTTCCTAAATCCAGAAGAGATCTGGACTAAGTGAACTGCAGCACTTTGAAATAAGAGTTTAATCTGGTTTAACTCAAGTTTAAACTCAAATTTCAACTTGGACAGGCACAATAATTTGTTGGATTGGAGTTGTTTTCATGTTCCATCTGAAGAGAAACTTCCTAACAATAAATTTCAACTCTATCATTAAGTAAAAAACTTGTGATTTCCAGAAAAATACCTTTTTTTTTTTTTTTTTTTGGCTATTTGTGGTAGGAGATCAAAGGATTGCACAGCTTTGCAGCCATCTGAAAAGCAGAAATTTATTTCTAAAGTCTCAATTTAATTCTAACTAAAAGTTTATTTCAAAAACGACATTAATGTTAATATTTAGCTCTTCAATAGAAATATTATTATAAAGTAAGCTGTTAGTATGAAATTATTGTAGAAACTTTTTATATGTAATATTCAGCTCTTTAATAGAAATATGATCATACAGTAAGCTGTTGGTATGAAATTATTGTAGAATCTTTTTATATTTAATATTCAGCTTTTGAATTTTCTTAATACCATTTCCTTCAGTGAGAGGTTCACAATTTCTAGGACAAGATAAAAGTGCTGGCGTGATGGAATGAAAATTGGGATTTTGTGCAATTTAGAGAAGTTTTCCAGGCTGATTGATGGAAGAATGTAAGGAAATCTTGGTGGTTACTGTGTGGCACAGGAATGAACTCCTGATTTTCTCCTCTGCTCCTTCCAGAGGGAGCTGCATCTCCAGCTGGATCTGATACTTTCAGTTTTGGAACGATTTTAAATTGCAGTGTTTGTGAATGCCAGGGAAAGATGCAGCTTTCACTGCCCTCAAGAAGGTCAAACAGATTTTTCTAAAAATCAGCTAATTAAAGCTGTAAATTAGATTAGCCCAGGCTTTTCTCAAGCACCTAGGAGCATTTCTCCTGTAAATCTCCCAAGAACTCACTGCTATAAATCCTTGTTTTTCTTTGAGGGAAGGTATCCCACCAGCTGACCAAAACTGTGCTGGTGAACTTTGTAATTAATATTTTGCAAGTATTCATAAAACTCTCAATGACCTATTTTTAAATAATGGGAAATGAGAAACCCCTCTAGGAGGGTCAGGCAGATCAGAAATCATCCACGAGGCAAGGGAAGGGCCAAACCCATTTTAATTGAACCCACTGAGAGCATCTCCTCAGCCAAAGCCTGAAACTAAGTTTAAACCTAAAGCTGAGACTTTCAGAGGCTGGACCAGATGAAAAACCACCAGCTTTTTTATTTAGAGGCCGAATCCTGTCGATTTTTCCAAAATCTGGCTCGTTATCCACGTACAAATCAGCACTGCAGTGCCTTTCGGGGTGCGGGCACGGCTTTGTCCCGTTAAATCCCGTGATTAATCCCAGCCCAGTCAAGCCCACCAATTAGCACCAGCTCATTTTCCTGCTCTTCCAGCCTGTGCCTCCTGTGCTGCACTGCACGTTGCTCATTAGTTGGTGCACCTCGTGCCAATTAGGCACTAATTTGATCATCGGGAGAGTTGCCTCCCAAGACCCCTCGGAGTCAGCGGAGACGCGGCCGTTCCTCCAGGCGCTCCAGCCTTGGTGCTCCCATTCCCCCTCTGGAGAAGCCTCCTGCTTTTCCATTAACTACAGGGAAAGCCTTCATCCCGAGGCAAAGGATGGCCCCAGTCCTGTTTTAATGAAGGAATCCCAGGCAGAGCTTGGTTGGGGAGTTCCAAGGCGGAGGTGGCTTCAAACACGGCCGCCACCGTCCCGCTGCGCCCTTCCCAGCTTGGCCATGGCATTCCCAATCCCTGGCCATGGCTCTGCTGCTCCATGGGGTCTGTTCTGTCCATGGGGACAGCATTGCCCTCTTGGGAAGCTCCTGTGATTCCTCAGGACCCCCCTGCCCTCAGCAGCACCACATCAGGGAGGGACAGGAGTGAAGAACTTTTCAGGAGCCCAAATTCTTAAGCGATGTCGGATGTGGCTCCTATTTGTTGGAATTCATGGAATTCCAGAGTAATTTGGGTTGGAGAAGATCTCTGAGTCCAGCCACAAGATTTCCCTTGCTGGAATTAGAAATGTCCACCCTGAGCTGGCACTCAAACTGACCCCAAAGAGAAAGAACCCCTTTGCCTTGCCCACCCTCACTCCTCTTTAAAATCAGCTTTAAAAGCCCAAATTCCCTGTTAGGATCTCGGAGCAG